AAATCCGTAAATAATAGTTTTATTCAATGTGTAGTGTTCGCGTAAACGTAAGAAATCATTATGTGAACCAGTACGAACTGGTAATAGCAAATAAAATTGGCCGATTAGAAGATCTTAAAACTAAGCGCGCAAGATATATAACATCTTTAAATTTTTTAGAGATGCAGAGACCATAATCTCATTCCTACGTGTGTCAAAATATCAACAAAAAAGGACATTCGAGGAAGCGCTAAGATCTTAAATCAGGCAAGTAAAAAGTTGTAACGAACGGTGATTCAGCAGAAATGGTTCGATTTACATTTCATAAATAACACCATAGACAATTTGTCCAGTGAACTAAAGACAATTTTAGCGACATTTGATTTTAATAATTGCATCGAAACTTTAAACAAACGAGAAACAGCGAAATACCGATCACATTAATGATCAAATCAAATCAGTGAATCCGGCCACAGTCAAGCGCGCGCCTGCTGTACTACCGTATGTCAGAAGAGTCACGGACAAGATTGTCTATATCTTGAAGCGAGCGTCCAATAAAATCGAAGCTGCCGAAGAAGATTAGTCAATTTTTACCATCAAATAAATGTAATATTCCACTACCAGATGCAGGTGTGTACAAGCCAGATGCAGGTGTGTACAAGCTAGATTGTGAATCTGGTCTCTCTTACATAGGTCAAACAAAAAGATCTATAAAAACCCGCGTGAAGGAACATATAACTGATGTGAAGCACCGACGCTCCGAGAAGTCTGGAGTCTGCCAACATGTTCAAGATCGTCCCCACCATTTAATTTAATGGTGATTTGATAAACCACAAATCCTCGCAAAAGAACACCGATTCCTAGCAAGGATGATTGATGACGCGAGGCTATTGAAATTAAAAAAACATCCAATTTTCAATAGAGAAGATAGATGGGTGCTGCCATCTGCTTGGATTCCTATAATTAACAAAATTAAAACCAAACCAAAGCATACCACTGCAATACTTCATGATACCATAAGCTTGTTTTGCGTTAATCGGACTAAAAATTAATATTCAAAAACTGAAGGTAGCCGGACTAACTATGACATTGTACGTCAAACATCTCAGTCACCCCGTGACCACGGGTACTGTAAAGCACCCGAAACGTCGGGATAATAAAAATTAATTAAAGTTGGAATTAAACGCGATAAAATCCGTAAATAGTAGTTTTATTCAATGTGTAGTGTTCGCGTAAACTTAAGAAATCATTACGTTTAAACTCTGCCTATTTTCTTTCAATCTCATCATTCATACCGCCAGAATTACCAGCTTTGGTTGCTAGTAAATCTGACCATGCTCTCTTCTTTGCTTCAACTTGCATACGTACCTCATCATCCCACCATAACGTATTATCATTCTTTTCATTTGTTCCTTAAACACCACATATTTCGGTAGCTGCATCCATTAAACCTTTCTTAACATTATGCAACACATTCTGCAAGTCTGACTCATTCACACACAATTCATCCAGATCACTTATATTTTATCTCAGTCTAAATGTGTACTTGTCTTTCACATCTTCATATTGTAACCTCTCTATTCTTATACGCTGTAACGCAGTGGTAGACACAGAAGTCCGATGCCGCCAACGCTTGATTGTAAAGTGATGCATGTTTAATTTTACTTAATTTTTTGTATATTCTAACCATAAGTTAATTAGTAAATAAGTTTTCATATACCAAAATTGGTGAAATATGTGAATCATTATTATTTTTATAACAACATCTTTGTACCATATTTCTTGTGAATAAATTTATTTATTTATTTGAATAAACCCTTAATTCGGCATAAGACCAGGTAGTGGTCCGTCCCTACGTTGGACCCCCGGTATATTGTATCCACCACTTCACTACTCATTATTTCCTCCACAGTTATGAAATCTATCATCATCACCTATTTCCCACGTATACGTGTGAATCTTCTTATGACGAAAGAAAGTATTCGTCACAAAAAGATTTTTTCACACATACGTTGAGGAGGCTTTCACCATTCTCATTTATACTTTTATTATCAAACGTTACCAATATCCCTTCATAGCCAAGTCTCTTCACCCCAAGCTTTCCATTAAAATCTCCTAACATAAAAATATTTTAATTTCCCTTACGTTTCATTAACAACATCCTTACCATCTTCCAAAACTGCTCTCGGATATAAGTTGGCTTAGGCATGTCTGAGACGTAGATCCCAAGAACAAGCTACTTATTTACGCCTACTTTCATTCGTATTCATAGCAGTCTCGGGCTTTACACATTCATACTCTTTCACACATTGACCCATTCTTTCTGAAAGGATGATACCTACTCCCTGGCATGCCCGCTTGGTCTCGTCTACACCGGACCAATACGCGGTATACATGCCATGTGTAGTGACATCCTTTCCTTTCCGCTTCGTCTCATTTACACATAACACATCTAATCCTCTATCATACATCCTATTCATATTACTTCATCCACCTCATCATTCATTGCTCCACATACATTCAGCGTAGCTAGACGGGCCTCTAAAATCCTCTCTTCGCCCCTCCGGAAGACAGAACGTGACGGGTGGCGAACCTCGTCGCCGGTTTTCCTCCCGGAGATTCTGATCGCACCTCCTGCAATCCGATTCAAGTTGTGCCGGGAACTTGGGGCAATTTCCTTTCTTTTATGACTCATGGTGCATAAACTAGGGGGTGGTATATTTTACGCCGCTACCACAAGGCGAGGAGCCGAGTTTGTTATTTCGGCTTTGTCGCTCTTTTAGCACCACCCGGGGGAAACGTGTAGGGTGGGCCTAGCATTAGGCGGTCGAAGCCTACGGTCGCGAGCGACTTATCCCCCCCTAGGGATTAGCTGTTTAACATAACATAACATAACATAACATAAACACTCACGCCTGTCACCCAGAGGGGTAGGCAGAGACTACAGACTTCCATTTGGCACGATCCTGACACACCTCTCTCGCTTCCTTCACATCCATACACCTACGTATACATGCTCGTCGGTTAAGGGTACTCCTAATTTGACCCGTTTTCAATAAATCGCCAATTTGGTCGATACATTTTTGCCTAGGACGTCCCTTTCCGACTCTGCCATTCACTTCTGCAACATAAATTTTCGTTGTCACTCTTTCCTTATTCATTCTATCCACATGACCGGTATTAGCTGTTTAATAATAATCATAATGTCCTACAGACTGAACTTTGGTCACGGCGGCCAGCCTCAACGGAGATTAGTCCTCGACGGATGACAGAATTATAGTGCACAAGTGTATGCGCACTCTCCATTCTTTCACTCTCATAATTTGATGGGACGGTAAACCGTCACGACTAGAGAGAGATCAGGCGCAAGATCAAAGACGTTACTTTCTGAGGCACAGGGGTGAGACATCGCTAACTTCCTGACTCCGGGTAGCTACTGAGAAGCTATTCAATAACTGATTTTTTTTGGCCCGACCCGGGACTCCTACCCGAGACCTCATCATCAGAAGTTGCGTTTACAACCCCTAGATCAATCAGGTAGTCAATTAGCTGTTTATATATTAGCTAGAACATATATTTCGTTGAAACTAAAGACTATCATTCGAATCAGGATAGAGTACAATTTTATTTTATCATTTTCAGTTTTTAGTTATAATTTAAATGAAATATGTAAAAATAAACCTATCATCATCATTATCATAATTCCTAAGACTACCGATGAATATAGGTTTCCCAAACGATGCTACAAAACACGCTCCTTAGCCACCTGCCTCCATCGAATTCCTGCATGTCTTTCCAGGTCTTAACTTCATCTAGTGGGGGCCGCTCTACACTTTATTTACTGGGAACGGGCTACCACTTGAAAACTGATCTTCCCTATCAGTTTTCAGGTATATAGTTTATTAAAAATCTAAATAAATGCAACTAAATAACGCGTAGCACGTGTGAGTCAAATCTTTAATTTGGTGGTTATAAAAGCCGGAACGTTGTTTATTTTATTTGGAAATCAAAACTGTGAAATCGAAAAATCAATCACTTTCTAAAAACCTGGTGGTTTGTTATGATACGCCAGGTCGAAAATTTTGCCAACATAGCGTAGAAACGTACGTAAACCTGTAAACATTTTAACGCGATAGATCGTACATAGATCGTACATGAAACGCAGATAAATTACACTAACAAAATTAAGATCATTATCAAAGGTGATGAACATGAAATGTAGCTTCAATGAGCATCATTTCTAATTATAACTAAATGTGTAAACAATGCTTTATAAACAATTATCTAAGAATATCAACATGTGTAGTCGTATTGTTTCATGGTTGTTTAGAAATATTCATAATTATTTTATTTACATGATATATGTACTTGTATATTAAATTTAATAAATTCATATATACATACAATACGTACACACGTATGAGTGTAATGGAATCTTGTAATTCAGTTTTCCCCTTTTAACGACGTTTGAGTAATATGAAATTACGCATACATTTTTAGAACCGATGATAATATAAATTTTTCATGTATTTCTCACTAAAATCATCTAAACTTATGCGTGTTATTTAAATCTTAATATTATTTTAAAATACGATTCTAGTGTCTTTTCAATTTTAACGTTCATTATTCTACTTAAAACTTGAAATACTCTTCAGTCTTAGTATTATATTAATTCATGGTAAGTAAAATATGAAATTATTAATTATTTAATAATTCAATTAACATATTATGTTCTTAAATGTAAAATGTTATATTAATAGGTAACTATTAATAGAATTTATATTAAAAAATGGCAACCTAGTTATGCAACCACTTATTTTGTAGCCAATTAGTTTTTGTTCAATATTTTGAATTAAATATACAGATTAATGCTTCAAAATCACCTACAGATGAAGCATTTCAATTATTATATGGGTTAATTACAAGTTAAAATGAGATATAATTACATAAAAATTAAATTCAGTATAAAAATCTCAAGACCTTTTATTTTATTGAGAATATCAATTAAATATGTTACTTACAAAACTGGAAACTTCATCAACATGCGAATGAAGAACATCAAAATTTTCCTCGGAAACCAAATGGTTTTTGAGCCTCATTGGAATTGGCACTTTTAGACGTAAATTCGGCTTTACCGCTTTTTGACCATTTTCAGCCACCACTTCATTTTGGAACAGACAGGCCGAGTTTTTGTAATCACCATTAACGCGATCCATCTTCCCAGTGCTGTCTGTTTCTTCCTTAATGCTACAGTGCTTAAACATTTCACGTTGGGAAAAAAGTAATAAATTAGAACATCGGTAATACGATCACTGAAATTGTTTTGCCGCGGACTGGTTGGAATAATAGAAGCAACATAATATATATGTATACTCCGGTATGTCTGGAGTTGAACTGAGATTATGCGGTTGTCTCGGCAACTGGCCGGGCTTCTAAACATTGGACCGCAAATAACAATCAACAAACTTACGTCACGCGAGCAGCGCAGTAGTAACCGGATGTCAGCACCCCTGATCAAGGTAACATTAGCGGCAGTAAAAAGTTGCCATTTCCTGACAGTTCGCGTTTAGGTAACAGTAACAAATATGATATTAAGTCACTGTATATAACAGAAGGGATTTTGTGTGGCTTCCACATCCGTATCTGATGTTTTGGTATGAAATTTGCAATTGCGTAGAGTGGTGGTAGTTTAGGTGCAATCGCGGTGCGCTGGCCCAATGCATGTTGCGGAATTCATACTATAGTATCGAAACGTTTTTTCTTCCTTTTGTTACCTGACTTTATTCTTTTGAACTCCGTGCACAATCGGCGATTGACATTAAAATTGAGAATTTCATTGGTGCCGGCGAACTTTTCGCGCAGTACGAAATTTTACGGCAATCGTTTAATTCTTTACCTAGACTGGCGATGGTTTGCAGGCTATCAGTACCAATAGTGCAAGAAGCACTTTTTATAGAACTGAAGTGAAAATGAACTTAAATTCCACATAATGGTAAGTGACTACTACAGCTCTCCATGGGTCTGCCAACTTTAAACTTTAAACGAAGAAATCTACAGATTTTTTGTCACCTCTGAGGACTAGATTGGAATGCGTCACAACTTGTAATTGTACTGGCTTTCTACAACCCAATATTTTTTTAAATAAATAAATATAGAAAATAAATAAATAACTAATTAAATTTTTTCTGTTTGTTTGGTTGCAGAATATTTGGTTGAGAAATGGTTTTCGAAGATTATCTAAAAAAAACGTTTTGAAGAAAACTCTTTTAGCTTGTAAGTTTACAAAAAATGCTGATGACGTGACATAAAACTTCTATCTCGCAAACCTTTGATACGAAATCGATTTTTACCATTTTTCTTTTACTTCAACACCATTTTGTAATAAAACAATGAGCGTTAAATGCTTATTACGTAAATTAATATATACATTCAATTTTTATTTTAAATATTTTCCCATATCGGACAGTTTTCGATATTTGAACTACTTTTCTAAAGACCACTATTAAATATCTGCAGGAGTTTTTTTTGTTCTACACCGATTGAGGCGAGGCTGTAAGCTAGTTTAGCATTATTTCACACATTGATTATTAGTTCATTCATTAATCTAATATTATAATTATTATTATTCCTAAGTGATCGCTGAGATCGAAATTTAGAGGACATAATAAACTGAGAAAACTTAAACATTTAATGATACATCAGGTTATTAAAGTATTTCAATGTTAAGAATAATATTATATAAATAAATATCTTCAAGATACAATTCAAATTAAACATTATTATTGCAGGATATCATAGTCGATCGATTTGATTTTATTAGGTAAAAAACGTTATGAGAACTGGTCCTAATTCCAAAAAGTAATATACATAATTAATAAAATAGCATAACTAATTACACTGCGATATAAAAGATCAAAATAACAAAATAAATCTTCGACTCAATTCTGAGAGGGTTTGGTGGAATTAAATAGTTCGCCGCCTGCCCCAATACGTGAATCAGCAGCTTCAACACTTAAAGTTGCAGTTGATAATTTCTTTAATACCGGTGAAAACTGAACTCGATTTGCTCATGAACCAAGAAATTTTCAAAACAAACTTTTGTTCTTCTTATTACTACATCGCACAAATTTATTTATTTTTTGAAACCATACCCCTCCTCCGTATTTTTTCCTGACCGTAGAGGTAGTTTATAAACACAAATTTCAGAAGGACAAATATCCAGACCCGGAACAATTATTTGTCGGTGAAGCAAATAGTTGTTTCATGCGGGATTTGAACCCGCGAAGCTCAGCCTCGCAACTAGTAATCTATTCTAAGAGTGTGATATTCGGCAAAGTCAAAGTTTATACGGAGAAGAAGTGCACTTAGCTAACATTTATGTGTGTTACAAATACATTAAATTAAATTAAATAAAGCATACATTTTTTACATTTATATTGTCAATGTCAAACGAATATTTATCGCATACATATGTATGTAATTACTCTAAGATTTATTGTTTAGGTAAGTTATGTCGTTCGTTCGTACTGCCAATGTCTCAGAATAATATAAGATTATGTATGCTAAAAATATAAGGTTAATCTCAAACACTGTCGCCAAAGAATTTAAAAATGTTGCCAATGTTTTGTACGTGGTAGAGCCACGCTGCAGCTATTATAGTTGTAGCATTAATGGCTCGTCCGGGGAAGCACCACGCTCTCACAGAATACCAGCGTAAAATAGCAGCTTAATGCTGCTGTATTTCGTATGGTGAGTGTAGAGAACCGGAGACCAGTTTTACTGGAAACGAGGCATTCCATCTTAGTCCTCAAGGGTGACAACACATCTGCATTCTTCATTCTTTATCACCGATTCTTAATCGAGGTCAAATATTTTAAATGAACCTTTTTCAATTATGCGTGTTTGTATATCAAAGTAAAAAGGTGTTCATTTGTTATTTTGTATAAGTTACAGTTTATATACGTCCCACTGCTGGGCACAGGCCTCCCCTCATTCCTGAGAGGGTTTTAGGGCAAAGAAACATCTGCCGCGTTTTCCCCTTTGTTGGAAAACTTTACATATCTTCGAAATATTTTTTATTTTATTTCTCAGACATGCAGGTTTGCGGAGCACGTGGCAAATCAGCACTTAAAATTGCAATTAACAATCTCATTGATGCCGGTGGGGATTGAACCCGGCTTGCTCGGGTACTGTGAAATTTACAGCGAGCGCCAAGCCCCGCGAGGCTAAGTTTAGTTGTCGACATTCCACGTGTTCTAAACAAACGGCTTGCTTTCTCGTTTGTATTGCGTACAGAAAGGAGTGGAATAAATAATTTGTCAACATTATCTTTCTATTCGATTTTGTCTTTCAATTCAATACTGAATATGCTTTTTAAGCTGTTTGATAACTTCAGCTGCGGTATTAACCATCAGGTGGGATAGTAGTAAAACCCTGGCAGCATTAATCATCAGGTGGTGGAAAGTCCTGGCTATGATATAAAAAAATTCAAGTGCCAGCCACCACTAGAAATTTTGTGTCGTGGAGGCAACGTTCATGTCTAAGAAATTGAAATTAATTTTGAGAACATAATATGACGTTTGTCAACGGCAGTAGGATAGCGCAACAGATTCTTTCTTGTAAAAAATCCGCTTAGAATTAAGAGGAAGTTAAGCATTTCATTTTACAAAAATAACAAGTTATAACCTAAACACAACAAGTGGGACGTGTATGAATAGATTTTCTTCTTATTAATTTATTTTATTATTTTTTGTAAAAGAAGTTGTTTTTCAGAAATGCTTGTCAGTTTACGTTAGAAGTGTACATCTTAATCTTAATACATAATATAAATTACGTGTCACGTTGTTTGTCCGCAATGGACTCTTAAACTACTCAACCGATTTTAATAGAATTTGCACACCGTGTGCAGTTTGGTCCAACTTGAGAGATAGGATAGTTTTTTGCCCATAATTATTGCGCATATTATTACCCACAATATTTTTGGCGTATTTAAGGATTTTTAATGGGACATGACAAAAGGTCGTCGAAAAGGGTAGAACAACGTCTGCCTGGCAAGCTAGTATGTATATAATATGTTAAATATTAAATTGGTTATGCGTAAATTGAAATTAAGTGTGTAATTAAAATATTTTCTAATTCTTCTGTGTTTTATATTACCTGTAATTGTTAAATTAGTATTAGAACAAACATACTTATTTTATTTTATTGTATTTCTTTACTTTCTTTATTTATATCAATTTGCTGCCTGCAACTTTCCTCGTATACGTTTCGTACCTTCATACATAATAGTTATTCGTTGACAGTCCATTGAATTCAGACAAACGTTACGTAACGATAATAATGTTAATATGTATGGTTGTTTTTCTATGAGTAACGCAGTAAACTCTGATGACTGAATAATGTCGTAAAATCTAAATACAGAAGCCGTGACTTAATTAAATATAATAATGTCCGAGACCGAATTTGGTCTACAACGGCCAGTCTCCAACTCTCCATTCCCTCACTATTAAAGTTCGTTGTAACAGCATTCCGACCCAACCGGAGAAAGATCAGGTGAAAGGCCAACGACTTTAAGCGGTTTCCGAGGCACAAAGTACACCACAGACTCCGGGCCGGTATTGAGTATTTCTTGGCAGAAAAAACGGATAGTAGTAACGTTCAGCAGTCGCACTTACGTTCACTGGACCAACCAGGCTGTCAAAGCCTACATAGTACGATGGTACATTTTTTTAAATGGAATTAGGATGACAAACTAGCACACAGTCAACCTGATGGTTAGAGGATAATCTGGCTCATAGACATCCACATTTAACCTCTATTAAGAATCAAAATTGAGATGCGTTGTCACCCCTGAGGAATAAGATGGAATGCGCCGATTCAAATTAATTTGGTTCTCCGGTTCTCTATGCTCACCATACGAAACACAACAGCATCATGCTGCTATAGCTGTACTGTGGCTCTACCACGTATAAAAAACTAAAATACATCATTAGCACTAAACAAGCTTTTTCTTGTTTAGCACGCTTAGTATGTGAAATTCTAAAGTATTAATGAAAAAACATATTATGTCCAGCCTAAAATCGCTGGTGACCTTGACGTTATCACGTCTTTGTTGCTTTGTGTCGGTTGGGATGTTTAGTAGCGAAAAAATAAAAGGGTTTTTAATGAATACGAAGGAACTTTATTTGATAAATAACAGACAAATATTCATAAAATTCAGCGACATGCAATCATCTGTTATCATAGCACAGCCAAATAGTTTTCATTAATAGTAAAAGTGGTGCAAATACGTAATAAGATGTGGCTTGTGTCTTTATTTTGGACATGAATAAGTTTTAAATGTGTATTTGAATACATTTCTGAGGAAATGTTGTTCGATAAAATGTATATAATATTATTATTAAAATTACAAGACATGATTACTGATTACAAAATTTATTTATACTAACACAGAAATATTTGTTAGTAGTGATGTTGATTAAACATTAAATATGGAAAATAGAAAATATGAATACATTTCTTACGACTAGCAAAGTTCACACAGATCACAAAGTTGACATTCACGTAAAATTGCAGCATTTCGAGATATTTTTTCCAATTTCTACAGGCAAAGAATGATTGTTTTTAATTATTTCATGTAATAAAAATAAAAATTTCATAGTTTTATTATTTTAATAGACTTAAACTTAGAACGCAAAATGCAATGCACATGTATTTTAATGATTTAATAAAAGTTGATTTTTTAATAACTTAAGTGCATGTAATTACAATTTGTAACCTCTAAATTAGAAGATGCAAGATAAAAATATTTACAAGTTTTGCTAAAACTATAGAACATGAGATATGATGTAGAATATTATGGCATTTTTAAAAAAATACAATGTCGTTGTTTGTTAAAAGTAATGTTTGTAAACAATACACATCATAATATATCAAGAAGATTTTCTTTTACAATTTTTAAACTAAGGAATATGAAATTATGAAATATAATACCCTTTTGTCTTTCGCTCTTCATTCTTGTCTTTTTGTTGATAAATGAAACAGAAAATTTAAAAGCAAGCTTAAATAAATGTTTGTGCGTATAATGATTGTTAATCCCTGCATAATATACTTATCTGAATAATCAAGTAGATTAATTATTAAAGTATTTTCTTAAACGTACTTAACAATTTAATGTTAATTTTATTATTTCTGTTTTATAAATCATATCGAAAATAATACTCATCATAATGCACAACCGCCATAGAAAATAGTTAAAAATAATATATACAAACAAAACAATAGATTTAAAAATAAATATTTTATGATCTTTCAGTAGATAAAATTAATTACTTTGGGTCATTAATATTTCACGGTATTAAAATATTATTCTACAATTCCCTAAAAATCAAGGCGAAATAGTTCATATTGATAGAAATATTTGTTAGATTTCGATTACTGAACATATCATTAAATTTGATTAATTTGATTAATTTAATATATTTAAAGGGTAGTTAAGCAACATCAATTTATGCGGAGCAAATTGAATTAGGACGGAAGCGCGAGGACCGACGTCATGGTTGGGCAGCCACGCGGTTCCTTCGAGCTGATTCCCGAGAAGCGCTGTGTACTTCAGCAGTACGTAGTGTGATGCCGAATATGTCTTCGTGGTAGCGATTTTCTTCCTACATAACATAAATAAAAATATTTTTCAAAACCTATCAAGTCTTAGTAAATATTTAATATGTATACCTAATTAGTATTATATATTGCAGTATTTGAGGAAATTATCATAATACAGAAATTTTCAACCAACAAATATTAAAACACAATATCAAACATTTGACTTTTCGCTCGAATTACAAAATCGTTTTCAGTGCCTAGAAACAGTGGATACCATAAATGGCAAATTCGTGTAAACTTCTTATATAATCGGAACTAAGTTCTTCTAGATTCATCGCAGAAAAACCCAAGCCATCCGACCCACAAGCCACCAACACTCTTCGACAATACTCTCAATCTCATGACTGGAAATGAAGCGGCAGACTTCAACAGACATGATAGCATGCAGGCAACTGACTAGGCAGATCCCTAAATACATGTGGCGAGACGTAAGCAACTTCAATATATCTCGTATTGAAGAATACACAGTGTAGAACAAAGGCTCAAGAGCCTTTGCTAAAGATCTGTCTTATACACTTTTTTGAAATTTTCCTTTTGAGCTGCTTCTGAGTAGTACTGTTTTTGCGAGTCATTTTAAAAGAACCTGTTATGTGAAAACGTTTACGTTGCATTAACAGTGTGAAGAAATTAAATACTACTAGTTTATGTCTATGATAATAATGTTCTTCAGGCTGAATTTCGGCCATGGCGACATTTTCCAAGACAAGCTATCTGCATAGGATGAGATAATAGTGCCCGAGTGTATGTGCAAACACAAGTGCACTCTCTATTCCCTTACTCTCATTGTCCGATGAGACGAAAATCGGACACGATGGGAGAGAGTGAGGCGTGGGACTAATAGCTTTACGTGTATTCCGAGGCTAGAGAGTAATAGCCACTGAGAATTCAACCCAAACCAAACTCAATAACTGATTTTTGACCGTACCCGGGATTCGAAGCCAGGACCACATTATCATCAGTTGCATTTACGACTACTAGTCAATCAAGGCAGTTTACTACCATAAGCCACCTACATAACCATCAGAAATTTGTAAAGAAGTCTCAGAACTACAATCTTCAATTTTGTATTGCGTATGTGGACTATGAAAAAGCCTACCATTGAAATCATGTTTTTTTTTTGCTCAAGGTTGTTCAGCAAGTTATGGAGAGGGCTTTGCTAGGAATTTCTCTGCATGATAAACTACATAATGAGGATATCTGCAGTAGAAACGACCGAATATAGAGTTACCACCACCATAGCCCAATGTATGAGTACGCTGAAGTGAAAATGGTCTATCTGGTCATATAGCTCGAAGAGCCCACAATAAATGGATAACAAAGGTTCTCGAGTATCAGCCTTGTAACGGTAAGTAAAATAGGGAAAGGGATGGGGGTGGGGCTTTGTTCAGCAGGGAAATTGTGCTGGGCAGTAATGATGCTGATCATATAACATTAGACTCTGCTTTATCAAGAAGTTGCATTGACATGATGAAACTGCCTCACGTCAGTTATGAGGAAAACGCAAACATGCTTACTTTACCAAATAATAAATCACATAATGTGCATAAACAAAGTTATTTAATTGCTGCAACATTGTAGTTAAATAATTAGTATAAACGTGCACTGTATGCTTGTGTTATTGACCTATTATCATAAAATAGGAAGGAAGCTAATTAAATTCATATAGCGTTTTCTAATTTAACCGTTTCCATTTTACGCATTACACAACGTTTATGTGATGTTTACCTGTTGAGATTTAATAGTCAAATAAAAATACCTTAAGTAAAAACATAAAACTCTGAACTTGTTCATCGGTCATTCCGCCATGCTTTTTGATTATTCCTTTTAACTTCTGATGAACGTCCTCGGCCATTTTGCAATCACCACAGACATAGAAATGCGCGCCTCGATTAACCAGCAGATCGTATATTTCAAAACCTTCATTTTCTGCCAATTCTTGTACATACATCTGTGAAACAAATTTTAAAATTGTCTGTGTCAAAGTGAATGCTTATTAATTATGTTCTTAATTGTTATGACTAAATAAAATATCTTAATTTATGCCTACATTCGGAGGTTCATATGTGAACGTTGTTTATCGTCTGTTAAAATTTAATATCGGTTTATCTATAAGAAAATACAGAAATGAAATCAAACATTGATTATTGTGCAAAGCATCACCAGTGCGGAAAAATATTGATTCGCTAGATTTGTCAAGTCGTAGATCCCAACTGACGCGGTACACACATAAGTGTAATACGTGGTAGATTAAAGAGGTTGTTAATGAAGAGTCAGTTATCAAAGTTTTTTTTATAGGATAGGATGACAAATGAGCAGACAGTTTACCTGGTGGTAAGTGGTTGCTGAAGCCCATAGACATCTACATATGAGAATCAAAATGAAGATGAGGGCTTAGGTGGAATGACTCGTTTCCAGTAAAAAGGGTCTCCGATTCTCTACACTCACCATACGAAACACGGCAGCATTAAGCTACTATTTGACGCTGGTATTCTGTGAGAGCGTGGTCCTTCCCCGGTCGAGCCGACCCATTCGTGCTACAACTATACTACTAATATAACTGCAGCATGGCTCTACCACGTAAACCCTATTATTAAGCCCTATAAATCCTATTACACCCTATGTACATCTCAATGACCTCCTCTGATTTGTAAGAGGGTTATGGAGTAATAGCAAAACATACCATTTCAAAATTACGCGGAAAATAATTAATAAATTGAGTAATAATATAACAATGTTAAATAACGCTTACTTTCGGAATATTTTTCTCCCGTGATAGTGCGAGAAAAACTTTCGACAGTACACCTTCTTTAAGTGCTTGCTCTTTTTCTTCTCTGTACAAGTCCATTGTTCTTGTTCGACAACCAAAGAACAACCAGACAGGACCGGCGGAAGAACGTGTTCGGGAGTTTAGTTGAGCTTTACGGTGGTGCCAAAATCCTCGGAATGGTGCTATACCAGTTCCAGGGCCAATCAGTATAAGAGGAACTGATAAATCTTGTGGTAGATGGAAATTTGGAGCACTGGAAATTAAATTATACGTTAAAATAAATTGAAATAATGAAAACTAAAAACAATTATCAAAAATAAATATATACCTTCGTATGAATAGATAAATCTCATCGCCGGGTTTACGATCCATAAGATAATTTGAGCAAACACCATAATGGACAGGACCTTCACCATCTGTTTGAATATGATATGAACGTGATTTTTTTTTATGTTCGCTAATATAACAAAAACCATGGTCATTCATTTGTTTATCTAATATCAACGTATTTTTATTACCTAATGTATGAATTTTGTTTTTTAAAGGTGAAAAAAAAAAACTTGAAAACAAAATGTCGTCCTTGTTATTACTTTTATCATTCGCAACATTCGATTTCACATCGACAGCAATAAATTAAAATATATCTGCGATACTTTATTAATTATATATTACGTAATCTATAATGATCAAATATTTTTATGTGGTGTCTATTGCTTACCTTGTGTTCTATACGTAACCACAGCAACGGTAAGATGTAATCGTTTTGGATGAGCAATAGGAGAAGATGAGATCGAATAGAACCTTGGCTGCAATGGAGATAATAAGGCAGCCAACAAAGATGCACTTGGCATGGCCGATGGAAATTGATCTAATACTTCAGAAAGTGTCGGGAAATGAAAATGACGCCAATCTTCATAGGCTGCGGGGTCCTAGTTAAAAAAAAATATAAATATTATCTTGAAGGATTAACATTATTTCATTTTATAATATTTTACTTACTGTTGCCAGAAGGTTTAGTTGCCTTCGTTCGTCTTCATTTTCACAAGTCTTCGCTAAATATTGCAAAAGAATTGTGGTTGGTGGAGTAGTTATATCTAAGAATCGCGTAAACAGTTCTCGTACGCTTACAGCAGGTAGTTTTTCATGTGGCTCCCAAGATTTAACAGGTCCTAGAATTTTTTTGTAAAAATAAACCATAACTTGTAAAAAACAATTTCTTAGTTTTATTTTTAATCTCATAACTTTGTTGTGATCAAATTAAATCCAATATGTTGTAATGACGCCAGTTAACTCAGTTAATAACGAAGTTTGATATAAAAGAGCTCTTACCACTTGAAGTGTGAGTCTCTTTCATTAGTTGTAATTGCACGGGCTCATCATAATCGCTAACGTCTTTCAATCGCGCCAATAAATTATCAACTAACTCCTTACGATTACAAGCAATAATACCAACGTGGTCTCCCGGATCGTATTTGATTTCATTCTGTAAAATGAAAGTTAATGCAATGAATACGATTATGACATTAGGTAAAATATTTTTCTCAACTTATTCAATTTTAAATACCTTTGGTTCCAAATCTATAAATATTGTAGATCTTTCCGCCGTAGAATCGCCCAAATCCTTGTTAGCTTTGACAACGCAAATCACTAGTTGTCGGTTCAATGCAGATTGCAACGCTGCCGGTAATGCTAAAGGGCGACCAGTTGGACGTGTAAATCTTACTGTTTCCTCACTTAACGTAACAGAGCCTAAAGCTCTTTTTGCCTCTTGCAGAGTCTCATCGTCGTCTAAGCAGAAAGTTTCACATGCTACCTGAATTAAAAATTTAGATTTTTTTAAACATTTGCCAAATTACTTTTATTTTAGGATCCAGATGGAAGAATATATTTTATTTAAATACTTGTCATTTAAAATAAATATTGATTAATTAAAATACTATAATAGTTTTTAAGAGACAAATGTTGCAAACAAACATAGGAATTACATACGTTAAATACGCTAGAGGCCCATTTCCGGAAAGCTTGATCTTGACCACACATTTCATCTCCAGTGGCAATTTCGTGAATTCGCTCACCACCAAGATCACCAAGCAACTTGTTCACATATTTGCCAAAGTTGCAAAAGTTTGGATAAGCGCTTGATCCAAGAGCAAATACGGCGAAGCGCACATTGCTTAATGGACCAAAATTATCAATTGAAGTGGCATCATTTGCACTTCCTATAAAATTATAATTTAGTTAGAAGGCAGAACATTTGAATAACTAAAGTTTATCATTCTTTTACCTTTTAGGGATTCCAATCTGCTCAGTTGTTTCGGATTACTAGAGGCAAAGCGTTGAAGTTCAAGTTGACTGTTAACTTTAATAAAAGACTTTGGTGTCAGCACGTGTGAGCTCCTTGAAATATATTTAAATTTTGTCATTAATAACATAGCTAAAATGATTACATTTTCTAATAAAATGTAATCATAAAACTTACCCAGTGGATTCTTCTCCTGCAACTTGATCAGCGTATAAAATTTCGCACAGATGTTCACCAAACGCCTAAAACCATAAAAGCGTAGAAAGCGTAGTGTTTTATTTTAAGTAATATTTAAAGCTTTAACTAAATAGTTTTAGGTCTTGGTCCAAATATGTGTATTCTCTAGCTGATAGAATTTCGATGACATTAGCCTTTCGACTTCTTTCGCAAAGAACCAGAGCATCTACTAATGGGTTCTAGTTCGAAGAAAAAGAGAAGTATAACTTCTAGCTGTACGATAGTTAAAGTAGTGAACTTTAATCTGATTCGTTTATTATTACAACTCTTCGCAAATTCACTGTTGAACATACACCTCCCCCGAGCAATGCCATAAAATCTGATTCCGAGACATCGACATCAATCTTTCGTTAACTTATTCATTTTCATTTCAATACTGAACCCAACGCCACGGATTGCTCATAGGGGGGATATTTTTAATAGTAACCACGGTTTGCGGACGGGATGGCAACAGCAATTTTAATTTTAATTTTTTTGAGTTGTTTTTAGAAAAGTGCCTACATTTCTTCTTAAAAATTGCTGTTGCCACCCGCTCACACCGCGTTCAAATGTCCCTGCATCCGCGCGGGGTTATACTATATGGGTTATTGGAATCTTTTACGCCGCCATTACACGACAGCATCATTTATTAGTAAGTTTTTTAAAATAAGTATTTGTAAATAAGTTTCTATAACTCAATTTACACAATAAATTTTGCCTTCTTGACTACAGGAAGCTACTTAATATGAAAATGGTACAGCGAAAGATTTCTTACCACGCCGTTTTCTGGTGGATCGCCATTTCCAAATGTCGAGGTCACAACAAGTAGTAATGCTTCATGTTCTATAGATGTTATATCATAATCCGCCATAGAGTGTACCTTTAAGTTAAAAAATAACCTTACATAACACATTTAACTTACATTTAACAGTATATATAATAGTATTATACATATCGTTACTTCTGATGCTATTAACGTAATTAACCAATAAAACATAATAATTTATACTTTCATTATAATTTTATTAATTACCTGAGCATTGAAAGCATGGCCAAAAATGACCCCTAGCTCCTTAGCGTACTGCTCAGACTTTCCAGTCTCGGTTGCGTACAGAACCGTTGCTTTAATCCTCTTAGAGAGAGCTCTGCCAAATAGTTTTGATGTGAATTTGACGGCGCGTGCAATTTGCTTGAAGTGAAATTTTCTGTTAATAGCCCGCTTTCCACTTATCGGCTTCGATTTTTGCCACTGATGCGTCTTCCAAGCTGGTTCCTGGTCAACATGTTTTATGTTTTTATTTTGCTGAATTTAGTTTTTATTTGCATTGGTTTTTGTATTTGTCCTACTACATTGGCTTTGTCTGATGTCTCTCCGGTTGTGTCGGTTTACCAACTACTACTCGGACTATGGGGAGTGAATGAATAGAAACTGCACTAGTCCTTGCGCATACACTTGGGCGCTATAATAATCCTGTTCTGTGCCGATGGCTAGTCTCTGTTGAGGCTGGCTGCCGTAACCAAAAGGATGGAGGATTAACAACGGCTTTGAAGCGCATTGGCTTAGAATATAGTTGTGGCGTGATGGGACCGCAGGTTAAAATCCCCACCGGAATAAGTATAGCCTTCAAGTAGTAGTTCTGGGGAGTTTTGGGGGATATTTGTCAATCAGAACTTTGTGTATGTAAGACGCTGCCACGAACATGAGGTAATCCAAGTGAGAAGGAAGTGAAAGTATTTTTTTTTAATAAATAGGTAGGTAGAATATAACCACAAGTCAGGACTGTAACATATTATAGAAGAAGAATCTTTATAATAATGTTCGTATAACGTCTTTGGGTGGTAGAATTATTTTTCTATCTTGGAGTCGTTCTGTGGAGGGACACACGGGCAGAGGAAGGCCGAATAAAAGATGGATCGATTGTGTGAAGAGTGATATGAGAATGAAAGGAGTAAGTATGGAAATGACGGCTGATAGAGAGGAATGGAACAAGAAGATTTACTGCGCCGACCCCAGATAATGGGAAATGGTTTAGAGAATGATGATGGAGTCGTTCTGAATACACATTTACCAAGATATTTCTACTTTCAAGCAACAAGTAAGTCCATTGTTATATCATAACGCATAATATTAAATATACGGAGATCCACTGTTATTAAAGGCCTTACAAATTTTATTTTAAGTTTCAGATGTAACATCGCACATATAGATAGCCTTTGCTTGCAGTTGGTTATTGGTATCCATTTACCATCAGGCGGTATGTTTGCTCGTTTATACATTTCACTATAGTTGATTAAGAAATCTACAAAGAAATACTTTTAATTCAACAAAACATTTAAAATAGCTTACCTGATATTCATAGGCGGGTCGTAAGTAATACAGTGCCATCTCTTGATGAAATACTGGTGTAATTGATGATGACATTGGCGGTACAATCCAAATCCAGTCTGCTGGACAACCAGAGCTATGACAACAGATTAATTTTAATTCTATTTTAATAAAAAATGTAAAGTAAAGTAACATCCTATAAAAACGTCCCACGGCTGGGCACCGGCCTCCTCTTGTTTATGAGGGAGTTTTAAAAAAAGAAAACGAATATATTTGATAGTATTCATGTAAAACTATTTACAATAGCTCATAAATACAATAATTAATTTTAAAAGTTGCTTTTCAGAGCTGAGAATCGAACCGATAAAAACGTGAAACAATAAAGAGCCTGTTTTATTTATTAGGTTTTAATCAATAGAGCCGATTATATGGATCAAATGCAAGGAGTTATCATTTTGTTGTAAATTATATCCTTCATCATCACCAGAACCATGAAATACCGTATCATTTTATAAAAAATAATACATTAACACGTGTTAGAGCCACGCTGCAGCTATAGTATTATGGTTGTGGCACCAATGAGTCGGCTCGATCGGGGAGAAACTACACTCTCACAGAATATACAGCATGAAATAGCGACAAATGCTGCTGTGTTTCGCAGCGCGAGTGTAGAGGACCAGTGATCCATTTTTCCTGAAACGAGGCATTCCATCTTAGACCTCAGGGGTGACAACGTATTTGCATTTTGATTCCTAATTGAAGACAGATGTAGATGTCTATGGACCAGCATCTACTTACCATCAGGTGGACTATTTGTGCTCGTAAAAAATAAATGAAAATTAAAGAGTATTAATGAACCACTGCTAATCTGATAAGATCTCCTTTAATAATATCTCATTATCAATATTTGTGACTTTGGATGTACTTCTGCGACTAAAGTTGGACGTGTCTAAATATTCTGTAAATCGTTCTACACAAACAATCACACGATATGGGCAATATTTGTTTGTGTAACCACTCCGACACATGTGTATCGTTGTTTATTTGATCCATACGTCTGACTTCGAGGTTCGAGGTTGTTGCGTTGATGCTTTTATAGCTTCTTGTTGTATTGTAGATTAAAAACCATATGGGATTTAGGTTTTCCGAAAGAGTGTTAATTTAATACCCCTTTCGAACAGTGGTCATTTGACAGTTAAGTCAAGTTTGAAAGATAAAGACCTAAAAACGTGTGATGTGTATCATTGTTTGAAGAGATGTGAGCAGGTGCTAGGCGATCGCTTTAAATTTCACAGTATATGAGCAACTCGATTTCGATTCTCGCTTAAAACACTGAAATTGTTTAACGTAATTACACATAGTGTACACTGTAACATTCACAATGCTACGCTCCTAGCCGATTATAAATGTTTAAATTTCAAATTCTTTTTTAACAAAAGAAACACGCGCTGAAATCGCGTGTCAATCGTTTTTTTATCAGTTAAAGTTTGCCATCCGTAACAAAAACGGAATTTAAATAAAAATATTTTTTACAAAAAAAAATCTCGTATATTATTTTACATTCTCCACGTTTCGAGCACTTTACAGCACCCATGATCACCCAGGTCGTGTGGTATTCCCAATGTCACAGTTAACCACGGCTAAAGACTGCAGACTTCCAATTTTGAACACCTACAGGATCGCCTCCGTCACTATATCAGATTTGATAGACTACAAATCCTCGCAAAAGAACAGCGATTCCTTCCAAGGATGATACGCGAGGCTATTGAAATAATAAGAAACATCCTAATTTCAATAAAGAAGATGGCTGGGTGCTGCCATCTGCTTAAAAAACCATCTTCTTAAACACGGGAACAGGTCTGTCACTCACACACACCAGAACTTTATATTTTTTACCGAAGGGAAGAAATATTTTCGAGTGGCAGCCTCGTACCGGTAGGCAAATTGTAGGGCGACCCGCCACTAGATGGGGTGACGACCTGGTAAGACATGCACCTCGTAGTGGCGGTGTAAGTTTATCCACTACCCCATATCATGGGTGTCTTAAGAGGCGAGAGAGGAAAACAAATCAGGAGATGAGGAGCAACGTCCAAACAACGAAAAATAAAAATAAACTGCTATTTCTAACTCGCTTGCCAGGCGTGGCAACTATGGCAAGTATCTCCCTTATGAGGCAATCTATGGGGGAGGCCCATGTTCAGCAGTGGACTTTAATAGGCTGTAACGGTAACTATAATGGTAATTTAAATACAAGCCTAAGCGTTTGCAGCGCTAGCGACATCTATACACTTCTTGAAGGGCAAATGAGCACAAAGTCCACCTAATGGAAAATGAATACTGTGAAACATATATGATAGATCTTCGATTAAGAATCAAAATGAAGATGCGTTATCATTCCTGTGGAAGATGGAATGCCTACTATCCATTGTCTCATTGAGAATGTGGTACTACCCGGTCGAGCCGACCCACTCGCGCTATAACCGTAATATAGCTGCAGCATGTCTCTACCACGTAAAATGTAAATAAGAATGACAAATGAGAACACATTCCACCTGATGGAGCATGGATGTTACAGCGCATTAGACACTTATATCTATTCTCAAAATGCAGTTGCGTTGCTTAGTATTTTTTGTTGCGCTTAAGATGGAGTGCCCCGTTTTTAGTAAAAAATGTTTACGATTTTCTACACATACTATATAGCTTAAACTGCTATTTTACGCGGGTATTATATGCAAGCCTGATTTGAATTTAAGTATATAGGAACACTCTAAAGGACGTTATTATATTGCTGCCTACACGATATTCATTTATTGACTCCTAGATTTTGGTTCGTTCAATCAATCATTACAGCCTATTCAAGTCCACTGTTAAAGCATACACCTACGAGTACGAGTACTATATATAATATATAGTATCGTACTATATTTCAGTGAAATTTACTATATATTATAGAGAAATAATGTAGTACGAAAAATCCGATATTTTTCGTACTACATTATTTCTAAATGCGTGAAGTTGAAACTGTCGGGTTTTTTTTTAAATTGACTGTGATTGTAAGTCTGGAACAAGTAAGTTTTACGGAAAGAATGTTTTCCACCATGAGAAACGGAAAGAAAACAGTAATAGAACATGTATTAATCTAATTAAAAATGAGTTGTTAATTTATTTTAATGTAACCTAAATTGATCAGATTCTTATATTTTAAAGGTAATAAATCATTGATGGCCACAGCGAAGAGCAACAATACATATGGAAAAATACACAAAGATTAAAATATGTGTGTAATTTTTTTCCTGAATTTTTCAAATGTACTATAGTTTTGCATCTTTTTTGGGAAAAATACTATATTTGTTAAAAAAAGTGGCAACCCTAGTCATAGTTGCCACGTTTAATAAGAGGGTTGGCGACCGCAGTTTTTTTCTAGTTGTTATTAAAAAACACTGGAGCTCATCCCCTGCATTGTTTCCGTCTGTCGCCTCTCACGACACCCAAGGAGTATAGCCCTACTACACAATACTTCCTGTTACATGCTTTGAAAATAAATGAAAGTACAACTGAATTAACAACCCTTATCTTTTTTTAAGTAGTTTAAAAATGAGAGTACTTACCGCAATCTATTCTCATTGTCTAAATGCTTGATAAAACTCTCCGAGGCTGTGTGGTGGTCCACAATTGTAGCATTTTGTTGTTGGAAGCTATGTAGGACCGCAACGTTCACTTCCACTAGAGCCTTGTCTTTCCACAGATTCACCGGCGTTCTTGTATCCAGACCCATTTTCTGTGCAACTTTCTGTTAAAAATCATTTGTAATATATACCGAATTCAAAAGTCGTAATATGAACTATACTAACTATAGATATGAACATAAAATGTTCTATAAACAGTGACCTGCTAATGGTTGTATCTACATATAAATGGTGGCGCTAAAAATCCATCACTATTAACATCGAATTTTGTAGGTGTTGCGAGACTCGACAAAGGAAAGTATCGATAATCATGTGTTATCATCATCATCATTACAACCATTCATATGTTTTGTCTAAGTGATAAAACTCTTTTTCTCAAGCAGCAGTGCCTGAATTGCTGTGTTCTGGTAGGAAGATGTATAGAGTGTTCGTATATTTACAGACTGTAAGGCATTACTTCTCTGTACTCGGAAGTGGCAACACATCGTAGCATTCTTTGCATGAAATTGATTACAGGCGTCCATGAACCGCTGAAGCCACTTACTACCAAATAGACTGTAAGGTCGTTTGTTTCTTTAAAATTATAAAAAGGTCATCTGCTGAACATATGCCTCCTCCCAGGTATGCCATAAAACATTTTGTCTATGCTACGAGGGCGACGGGCGGCAGCGCTGGTCTACGTATTTTACATATTATACATATCTGATTACAGGCTATAAGTGATAATGAGTATATCACATCAGGAAATGTAATATTGTTACGAGCTTGAGGTTCGTGAAAATAAAAATTAGCAGATAGAATTACCTAAATTAACACTTTAATTTTGTTTACACAAATTAAAACTTAAAACACCAATAATTAATCACAAAAATTCACTTTATTCCGCTCCGAAGCTTCGCTTGTCTCGCCAACTTCAATACCTCCCCGATCGCGTATTGCAGCGCCTTTATATAGGGCTCTTCCACGAAAACATCCAGAATATTCCAGAATATTCGAGTAAATACGCGCGCCAACCGACCAAGCGCAGAAAATTCGAGTTTGGGGCTTCCAGAAAGCTTAGTTCTTCAATTCGATACTAGATGGCGCTGTCGGTTGAAAGATTAGTGATGTCATTTTATGGAAAGCTCTCTCTTCGCTCTGTTACCCGACACTAGATGGCGCTAGTGCCAGATGTCAACTTAGCCGCGCAACACTGCCCCCTCCTAAGACATGCTCGTCCCGAGCATTATCGGCCCTATAATAACGCGCCAGGCGCCAGGCCCATCCACATGGACGATCTTAGGAGTCCCTCTTGCGCCTTTCTGTATCCGGTAGGTTACATCGTTGATCCTGGTTACAATCCGGTACGGGCCGTCCCATTTAGCTTGAAGCTTAGGAGATATCCCTTTGCGATTCGTGCAACCACCTAGTACCTTCGTCGAAACCTTTATTGTCATTTTGCGGTCGTACCGGGTTTTCATCTTCTCAGACATTTGTTGGCCCGATTGTCTGACGTGCTCATAAATGTCATTCATTTTGTTCCGCAAGTCATTTGCATAATCGGTTATACTGCGTGGGGTATCAGGTGGTATCCCGGTGATCAGGTCTGCAGGCAGCCGTAATTCTCTTCCAAAGTTTGCGAAAGCTGGTGTCACTGCTGTACTTTCGTGAACAGCGCTTCGATATGACAACAAAAACGGTTGTATGTGCTTGTCCCAATCTCGTTACCGATTGTCTACAACTTTTGCTAGGTACCTCTCCAATGTCTGATTAAATCGTTCTACCATTCCATCAGATTGCGGGTGATAAGAAGTCGTTCTTGTTTTGTGAGTACCCATAACTCGGCAAGTTTCCTGGAAATATTTGAGACTCAAAATTCCTTCCTTGATCGCCGTGAATCTTTAAATGTACTCCAAAACGACAGAAGACTTCATGAACTAGATTATCCGTAACTGTTGAAGCTTCTTGATTTGGAATGGCGATGACTTCTGGCCACTTAGTGAAGTAATCCATCACAACCATGAAATATTTGTTACCGCTTTCACTCTCCGGAAACGGTCCCGCCACGTCAATGGCTATTCTATCCCATGGTGCACCAACATTGTACAACTTCAATGCACCTCTACTACGAGTCTGAGGTCCCTTTACAGCCGCACAACTTGTACATTTGCGACCACCGACCGATCCAGTAAAACCGTTTTCGGATCTTCAGTAGAGTTCGTTTAACTCCCAGATGGCCTTCTGAACAATCATTATGGTACAGCTGTAGAACATCCGGTACTTTAGCTTTAGGGACAACCATTTGCAAATTACAGATGTCTCCCCGAACATTTTCCCATTTAGGACACAGAACTCCATCCTGAAGCAGCAAGCTGTCCCACTGGGCCCAATAGCTTTTAGTGGTCGAACTCATCGCTGAGACGTCACTCCACTTGGGCTTGGGAGCACTGGCCTTTATCCATTCCAGAATCGGCTTGATGTCCGGATCTTCCTGCTGTGCATTTAGTAAGCTGTCCTTCCACTCATTGCTGAGGTGGTCTGCCCTGAGCATCCTCACGGATACCACTTCCTTACTCTCTTGCCTAGTACAATGTTTGCAATCTTCAGGACATGGTCTTCTTGACAATGTATCTGCGTTGCCACGAGATTTCCCGCTGCGATGTTCGATCTCAAAGTCGTATTCCTGCAGTAGTTCAATCCACCTCGCAACTTGTCCTTCTGGGTTTTTTAAACTGCAATAGCCATTTTAGTGCAGCATGGTCAGTTCGTAAGTGAAATTTTCGTCCCAGAAGATATTTGCTGAAAATGTTGCAACGACTTTACCACAGCTAGCAATTCACGTCTTGTGACACAATAGTTCCTTTCCGGTTTTGACCACGACTTGCTGAAGTACGCTATCACGACATCTTGGTCACCATTCCGTTGAGATAACACACCGCCAAGTCCTATATCACTTGCGTCTGTGTCAACTATAAATTTTTTGCTTGCATCAGGGTATCCCAAAATAGGTGTTTTGCACAGACGGTCCTTGAGCTCCTGGAATGCGATATTGCAACTTTCATCCCAGTGGAAAAGTCGCTTCTCCTCGGTTAGCTTATGCAGAGGTTTGGCTATATCTGCAAAGTTCTTCACAAACCGCCGGTAATAGGAGCACAAACCCAAAAATGCTCTAACCTGCGTCTTGTCTTTTGGAACCGGCCAATCCTTGACCGCGGCGATTTTCTCTGGATCCGTGCGGATGCCCTCTTCCGATACTACATACCCCAAAAAGTTAACTTGCCGTTTGAATAGTGAACACTTCTTCGGACTCAACTTGAGGTTGGCACTCTGAATCTTCATGAGCACGCGTTCCGGGTTTTGAAAGTGTTCCTCAAAAGTGCGACCTACGATGATGATGTCATTCCAAGTAGACCAGATAGGCAACGCCAATTAGCCCGGTAAGTACAAGTTCCTTCAGCCTTTCAAACGTTGCTGGAGCATTGCACAACCCAAACGGCATTACTTTAAATTGCCACAGACCCTTTCCCGTCGAGAAAGTTAGTTTTGTCCTTATCCTTAGGGTCAATTTCAACTTGTCAGTAGCCACTTTTTAGATCCAGCGTGCTAAACCACTTTACTCCTGTAAGCATGTCCAGCGTGTCATCAATTCTTGGCAAGGGATAGCTGTCCTTCTTCGTAACGTCGTTCAGACGGCGGTAGAAGAGTGCATTTCTTCTTCACCAGCACCACTGGTGATCTGGACCATGGACTAGAGGAAGGTTCAATAACACCATCCTTCACCATTCCCTCAATCATAGTTTCCACTTCCTTTTTACGTGCTACTGGCAATCTTCTTGACCGCTGACGGATAGGCAATTCTTCTCCTGTGTTTATTTTGTGTTGAACTAAGCCAGTCTTTCCTATGTCAGCATCGTTTGATGAGAATGCATCGGCGTACTTGAGTAACAACTTCTTCGCCTTGACCAATTCGGTCGTGGAGAGAACGCTGCGACAGTCTTCCAAAAGTGTGGTCACTCTCGTTTGTGCATCTTTGCGGGGGTCTCACTCGATAGATATTGGCACCGCCGTAACCAATCCACTTCCTCACAAGTACCAACTAGCGTGGCTTTTTATATAATCTGTTCCCGGTCACAAAGGTTCAGCACACGTACACCTGAGATGTTAGTGGTCCTGACCAAGGTTCGAGCTACTTTCCATGAAAGGTGATTGTTTACCCTTTCCACAAGTACACAACAGTGAGCTTGCCCATCGTTTCGGGGAAGACTAACCGGAACAATCGTTTCCGATCTCGGCGGAAGAACAATCTTCTTAATGCTGTACACATTCCCTGGTAACGCACCTTCCATAAAAAGTTCCTCCTGTCCACATTTCAAAACACCTTGCTTAACGTCGATCTTACAACAATTATTCCTCATAAAGTCTAGGCCTAGGATGCAGTCGTCCATTATATCAGCCACGATGACATTATGCATGTAGATCACGTTGCCTAGCTTCAACTCCATTGCCTTCTCTCCACAGACGGGTAGACGCTGAACGGTGGCTGTTACCAAATTAATGCGTTCTCGGTTGTATGCGGAGTCCCCAAGGAACTGACTTATAAGTTGGGAACTAACAACCGTATGAGAGGCTCCAGTGTCTATGGTCAGTTTACACGGCATTCCGTTGACCTCGCTCTTGATGATTAGACTGTTCCCATCATGGGTTTGTGAGATCGAGATCCTTGGGGCTCTTTTAACATCAGCCAGCACCCGCCCCGCAGTTCTGGCTTTTACTCGTTTCCCTGCTGTTGCTGGGCGGTACTGTTGGCCGCACTACCCTTCCTGAGATCGTTCACCTTCCCTTTCTAGGGTTCGCTTAGGGCAGCTGGATCGAAGATGGCCCTTTTCCCCACAGCCATAGCACCTAGGGCTGTATCCTTTGTTGCGGTCGCGAACTGTAGCTGCTGCAACCTCCCTGCCGCGATGGGAACGATGATCCTGCCGCACGGCTTCCACCTCCAGTGCATGGGCCAAGGCGTCCTTAAGCGTCTCGTGGTGCCCGAGCCTCACAGCAGCTCTGACTTCCAGGTCGCGGATGCCGTCAATGAATGTCTGCACCAGGTTCCCTTCAATGAGCGCAGGTACAG